TGGCTTTATTTTCTAGGTAGTGCTGAGCACTGTGTGTTTTGGAATCATTGTACACGTTAAAGATACGTATGATTTGTTTGTTGGGCATGGTTAGCTCCAGGCATTGGGCATCATCATGATTTACAATGTCTGTGTTAAGTCTCGGTGCGAGGTGCGCCCACCGTCTATTGACGATGGTGCACACACGTCCTTTCTCAGATGCTCCAAGGAACATGTACTGTCTGTGGGTTATTCCCTGGTGGTATTCGTCCCCGTCTTTCGACGTGGTAGACATTACTTGTTTAATATAACCCCAGAAGGGTTCTTGTACTAGCACGACATCTGCCGTTCGATAATTTTGTTCTAAGAAGATTTGAAGGTTGTCCTTCGATTTCTGAACATTAAAGGAGACCACGGTGAATGGTCTGTTATTATCATCCCGGGGTGTAGGGGGTTAAGCGTTATTGGGTTTTTTAACCCTGGCTTCCACTTCCGCTCTTTCCAGGTTTATGTCAAGGGGGGGCGGTAAATCATTCGTATCGTCATCTTCATCAGAGGGGGAGTCCTCGACGTCATCTGTGTCCCAGTTTTCCTGGTACATATTTTCAAGGTAATCCACTTCGTGATTTATTCCTTGGTCTGTCGTATCATTTTTGTCGCATGAAAGATCGAATTGGAATTCGATCTCCGGCGACATAAAGTTGTTATTTTGGTCACAAGGGTGGTCTTTCGGTACCGCATCCACGTCCATGTCATTTGTTGTACTACTCATAGGCAATGGTACGAGGTAGTGGGTAATTATTACATGAGTGCATCATGTGGGGAGACGGTTGGACTCTGAACTCAAGTGGCTGTTTGAGTTCATTGCGTCCTGTCATCCTCTCAAGTATCGTGGTGTATATTAAACTGTTTAGCCTACGGCTAGGTAACAATTTTAATGTATCTAGGTGGTCTACACCTGTGATCACGTGATGAGAGCCTGGACCGAGCCCTGACAAGTCAGGTGGTGACCACGTCTCAAGCATGCCGCGTGTGAGGCGGCGTTTGTGTATCTGGTTTCCCAGGATAAAGTGAGACGCCTTCCTGAGCGTTAACTTGTTGGGGGTCTCAAGCAGCCAGGCTGCCTGTGGGATTTCTCCCTGTGTCCCCTTTCCTCCGAAGGGTCCAGGTTCCGCCAAATGACTCTGCGGCCACGTTCCGCTGGGCAGAGACGACAGCATAGACCTCTTGCATGGGTCTAGCTGTTGGTGATGTGTTGGCGATGGGGGTGACTCGACGCTGTGGCTGGACGCTTCACGGTCGACCCCCAGCCCGAGGTCTTCCGGAAGCGTCGTTGGGCCCATCACCGCTCTTCAGGCGGTAGCGGACCCAGCACCTAAACAGATAAAATAAGTTCGAAGGGGATAGGGAAGTGAGAACGTAACAATGGGCGACGGAATTGGGGAACGAGACTCAAACGACGTGGGTGTCTAAGGTAGATGGTGGTGGTTGAAGGTCAAGGTGTGTGTGATGACGCCAGACTTAGGGCCTTGGATTGACCCTCCCATTATAATTAGCTGTAGGTCTCGCTGGCTTCAGGCACACTGCATAGCTGTTAACTCTGCGGCAACGGGTTTGAAGACTGTTATGGTATACTACGAGTAGTGATTTTCATACCTGAATATCAACAGCGGAGGTTAGAACAAAGCCAGGGCGTGCTATAGTACTATCGCGTGTGTTCGCCTGCAAGCTGCGGGAAATAACTACTACACAAGCTAGGGTTGGAGCTTACTGCATCTCAACGAGGATGGACGCGTGCTTCTTGAAGCTTGAGCCAGAACGTTTGAACGCTTGTACCCTGAAGTTCTTTTTGAACAATCTCAGGTGCCAGACCCCGGTCGCTTTGTTCGTGCAAATACAGTATATGGTCAGGCGTGTTGAGAAAGTCTGTTGACAGACGTGATAGATCCCAAAGTCCGTTCTTTTCCAGTTGAAAATGGTCCATATAATAATTGTGCTAATTTTAGCCGCAAGTGTACACGGGCGCCTAGCAACCCTAACCTAATTTGAAGCGCTCTTTATTCAACCACTGCAATGCCGTTAGACCGGTGAGAATAGACTTATTCTCTCTGTTATCTGTAGCTTTATTGTTTTCTCCACCACTGCTGCAGGAACTCGGGGACTCCCGTGGGCTGCACCCGGGGACAAAGTTCGTTGAGGTTCTTGCCTTCGTATCCCGTCGGGTTGCTCCTCAAGATCTGCAGGTACAACTGGGCCCGAGCCACCTCAACCTCACTCGCAGCGGGCTTCCCGTCTGGACTTCCAGGCGCTCCTGGGCTGCGCGAGTTGATGGTCTCGAGTATCTGTTGCTCGGACAGGTATGTCACTTC